GCAAAGGAAAGGGCCCGAGATCAGTCACCAATCACAATGGGGCAAGAGGCTGATGAAACCATATTGGGGCAAGAGCCAGATGAAGTCATGATGGAACAAAACCCTACTACAATGAAGATTCATCAGAATGTAACTCTAAAGAGATGACAATTGAAGAATTTGAAGTAGATCCCAAGTCAGGGCCATCCTCAGAACCGCTAAGGGATATAGATAGGGCTAACTTATGACAAGACCAGGAGATGTCAACGATATGAGTGAAGATGGAGAAGTCTTAGCCGATATCAACTTGATAAGGATCGACCAGTCAAGAGTCATATCTGAACCTGGAAATCATCCAATATGTCCTTGGGGCACAAGAATAAACCGCTCTGAAAATGACCACCGCAATGATAGAGTGACATATTTTACTAAGGAATTTCAGAAACCAAATGATGAGAATTGCCTTAGCCCAGGGTCCATGATCCAAGAGACAATAGAAGAGCAAACTACCCCACAAAAAATTCCCATTGAAGTGGAAGGAACAAACTTGTAGAAGACTCAAGACACCTCTATCCTAGATAGTGGGGCAGAGGCAAATGACTCAAATCCTGAGGCTATAGATTTTCAAATTCCAATTGATGAAAGTAACTGTAGTCAGAATTCTGAAACTCAATAAAAAGAGAAAAATTCAAGAAAAATCTCTATTCCGGTTGAAGATACGAGCGTACAGAAAGTTCAAGACATCCCTGTGATACATGTCACCACAAAAGAAAATGACCTAATCAATCTCATCTTTCAAATAAGTGTAGTGGGTGACCTGTAGGAGGCTCAAGTCATCAATGAGCTCGATCGAGATCCAGAAGCTAGGGGTTCCCAAGGCTACAATTGTGAGGAATGCCTTAATCTCGATAGTGCAATCCACAAAGAAATGAAAGAGTCAAGCTTAAAAGATTCTGCTGAACTATTCCCTGAGGTGAATCCAAAAGAACATCCATCCCCTCAAGAATGGATGAAAGAACTTGAACATCTAGAGATCCTAAGAGGTCCACCTGGGCCACCTTCACTTGACTTCTTGGCAGACCCACCTATTTGGGATGAAGAACTGAGCCTAGAGAATTCAATTACATCAGACTCTAAGATTGATCTAGCAATGAACATTGAAGAAGCGATGGACCCAAATTTGATCATTCCTGAATATCCAACACCTCTGCAAGAGTTAATAGAAATCAAAATCCTCAAAGTTCTAAGGGGACTACCTAGGCTACTTTCACATGAATAACCCGCATATGTGAGATGAAGAACCAGACATTGAAGATCAAATCATGTTATTCCCTCAAGGGAAACTATTTCAACAAGAAGACCTTACAGGGGTAGCCACACCAAACCACTTCATAAGGGTACCCTCACTTGATGCTGAAAATAAAGTAGGGGCAACCGGTGAGGCCCACGCCTTATCTCACGACCCCCAGCATGCCTTGAGGCAATATACTCAAGAGCAACATGAAGTTGCAACTAAAAAAGACTATCGAAAAGACGTGAGGTGATCACTTACTCCTCCCTTTCAAATAAGCTAAGTGGGGCATCCATGCTATGCTTAGACATCCTACTCCGAGGTATTGACAACCTAAGGAGTCGGAAAAAAAAAAAAAAGCTTAGCCAACCCAATAAGAGATTTAAGGACTAGGAAGCTAAAAGTGACTCCGAATATGAAGATCAAGTCTCGAGTGAAGCAATTCAAAGAGAAAAGACTCTATAAGAATTTGATAATGCTATCAAGGAAGTATTACATACCAACTAGGGGCAAGGAAAATCTAAAGATAACCACGACTAGGGCTTCCTTGCCACTTGGAAGAAGGAAGGATGATCGAGCTTTTATCTATTTTCGAGGACTAAGTGCCAAAAAAACAAAAAAAAAGAAAAGAAAAAGACCACTGACTCATATTTATCTCCTCCTCTCTCTTCATATTCTTCAAAAAGCACAAAAAAAAAAAAAAAAATCCGCCGGGATGGAAAAAAGAAAAAAGAGGAATCCTTAGCGTTGGAAAAAAGGCCACTGAGCTGAACACTTGAAAGGGACCCTAGGGGTAGAATAAATAAATAAATAAATCCGATGGGCTAAAAATCCGAAAGGAACCGCGAGCGTTGGTAAAAAGGCTATGGTGCTAAGCACCTGAAAGAAACCCCGGTGCGAAAAAAATACATAGATATTCTCAATCTTTTCGTCTCTTCTCCAAAATCTCTAAGTAGTCTTCTCTTCTCAAGTTAGAATGGTGTCAGAAAACAAAGTAAATTGAATGCATCAGTCCAAATAAAACCTGAGAAGCCTCGACTATCTGAATTTCAAAGGAGTGGTAGTGGATAAACAAAATTAAAAGTCCAAGGATATTCTGAGCACCTCGGGGCAACATCCCATATTTTCCAAGATACCAGTTTGCTTGACAAACAAAAAAAAAAATCTTCTTTGAATAGTTACATAAGGGCCAAAATTGGAATATGAAGAAGTACTTTGTGATTCATCGTCCTGAAAGTTCCATGTAGAGGCTCGGCAAGTTCATGTTGAAAAAAAAAAAAAGAGAAAAAAAAGAAAAGAAGGAAAAAAAGGAAAGTTCGATGGTTAGAATGAGCCTAAACTTCTTACCAAACTTGTTTTTCAAAATTTCTCATCCATCTACAAAATTTCACATATGTGTTTTGTGAGTTTTCAAAAACCTTAATTTATTTAGTTAAAAAGTAGCCTGAAACTCTGTTTCTATTTCAAAATTGAATCTATCTTCAAAACCTTCTAAAATGTTTTAAAAAACAAAGGAGTTTCATGGAGAATTAGATATGATGCATCCGCCGCCACCAAATCCTGGATTGCCATTCTTGCAAACCCTTAGGAAAAACAACCAACCTATAGGTTCCAAACTACTGAACCTGTGGATCCCAAGAATCGGAATCAAAGACGAACCAAGAAGTTCAATTAGCCAAGAATTCATCATTCCATCATTTCTTCTAAATCAAACTCTCATTTGATTGGAGAACCAGACCCCAACAAAAATATCTAAAGTCAAATATAACTACACGTGCAACAACCCGATAGCATTATGGTGACTACAACAAGAAATGTCATCGGTTCAAAGATATCACAGTTCATGTTGTCTGTCACTTTAGATCTCGATTGTCAGAGATAACAGTGTCAATTCGATGTCTTACATATCAAAAGTATCTATCAGCGTACCGCCTACCCAAGTGTCTCATGTCTCTACTTCTTTCTCATGTATCTACTTCTTTGTCATTCACCCTGGTAACCCAAGTGAATGCCAAAGAAGAATAACTGTAGACACCCCTCGAAATTCTGGCTAAAGGAACTCTTAAAACCCTCGATTATGAGCCCAAAAGATCACAAAAACCTTAGAAGACCATAGCGAACCTATACCAATATAATTACCCCAAAATGGCCTAAAATCTATCCCAACTTGAAATAAACCCCGAGCGCTTTCCTACGGTCTAAGAATCGCCTGAATTAGACATACGGATAAAAATTTCCATCAAATGACAATTTAATCCCTGTGAGACCCAAATGTGCGCTGGACGGACTGTGACATAGCCTAGCAAGCCCATACATGACATGATGATGCAGTAAACATATTTTCTTTAATTAGATAAAGCAAAAACTTTCAGATAAATCCAAAAAATTCAAAAAAATCAAGAAAAATCAAATCCTATAAATAGTCGTTCCATAACCAAAAAAGGAGAACCAAAAATAGAGGAAAAAATCCCTAGAGGTTCCTCCTTCTTTGCTTAATTTAGTTTTGTTTTCTTCATTTAATTCTTTGTTTTATTTTAATTTTTATGAAAATTAATTGATTGTTAAATTTAATTAAATCTAAAAATATTTTTTGGTCAAAATACAGATTTGGAACTAATGCTGCCAGTGGACTCCGAAAAAGAATGAATATGTATAGATTTTAGATTTTTCTATGACCATAATTCAAGCGGCTCCACTTTCTCTACTTTTATTAAATATAACTCAATTTTTGCTAAGATTTGAATAGATATCATACCAGAGATCGACACAGATCGGAGAGAAAAATGTTTTAGTACCAAAAATCCTTGGGGCCCAAAAATTTATTTTCATCTCCAATTATAAAATTTGAGGTTTTAAAATAGTATAGATCAAAATAGATCTATAAACACTTGAAAATCTTGAAAATTGACTATCTAAATAATGTACTATAAGATGTAGTATTTTCAAGTCTTGAAGTCTTTTTTTTTTTTTTTTATGTCCATATCTCTCAAAGGTTGAGATTATCAGATTTGAGAGTTTTTCAACATCAAAACAACTTATTATAGTGGATTTTTGAGGTGTCTTAATTCGATTGTCCAGAACCTTAACCTTATATAAACTTTTCCGGTATTCATCATATCTAATTTAGTAAATTTGGTAGTATTTGGGTGCTGACCGGGTTTGATTGCCATTATATTCACATTGTTCTTTAAAGCTCCCATGCAAAAATGTAAGTTTAACATAGTCTGGGTCGGCTACTAAATTTCTCACAAGATTAAAAATTAACTAATTTCAACAAAATGATTTCAATGCCTAGACCCAGAGTCAATCAAATAAAGAGGCATACTCATCAAATAGAGAGTTTCGGGCTTGAGAGAGAGAAAGAGTAGAGAAAGAGAGAAAGAGTTTTGGGCTTGGGGGCGAGGAAGATACGAGAAAGGGGCGGTGATGCGGAGTACAGACTTTTGGGCTGTGTTCGGGCCTGCCAGAGCTGACCCGAAAATAACACATTCTTTCAAAGCTGGCTCAGATCTGACCCAAAGCCCGACTCCACCCCTAAACACAGGCCCAGCCCAAATTGGACCATAGGCACTCTTGGTACCAATGCATTTTTTTACCAATTGACTTCACCCCAATTGGCAGCTAATTAGCACCTAATATAACGGGAAATTCGTTCATGTAAAAATTTCCGTGTATAAAACGTGCCATTATATAGCATAAGATATGGCTTCTTTATTTTATGAAAAAAGTTAAAGGAAAATACATCTTCCAAAAATTAAAAAATTAAGGAAACTACATCTTCTCCAAAATTAAATCTTGATCATTTTTCATCGAGACGTCTAGGGAAACCTAGAGAGAGCTGTGTATGACCTCAAGCAACTTCAGGGAAGTCTGAAGAATTCGAAAACTCTTGTCCAAGAATCTGGCAAAAAAGCTATCTTTACAAAAAGTTAAGTACTAAAAAATAAAAATTACGTCAGAGTGTATTGCAAACTTTAAAAGGTGATGCAAGCCAATGAATAAAAACAGTCAAAAAATAAAATCTAACACGTGGTGTTTGATCAAAAGTAACATTCTCACCAAAGAGATCCGGTATATTTTGTGAAGTCATCATTTTTGCGATAGAAGCCAAGGTGAAAGGCATACCTCTTTCAATCTCCAGTCAAGCTTCTCAGTAAGCAACAAAGCAGCCACTCACTTATTGTGCAACAAATGACAGACAAATGGAAGAATGAAGGAAAACAGAAAGTACAAATCAATGAAACAGAGGAATCATATGACTGGTTTTCTACCTGTGTATGCCGAGTAAAGGTAGTGGTAACCGCAAAACTCGTGAGGAAAAGCCCTCCAAAAATCACCCAATTCCATTGGGTAGTTCTGCAGTGGGAATCGGAACTTGGGATGTAGTGGTACAATCATGAACAACACCTAATTGAACGAGCCCAAGCCCGATTCCTACAGAATGATACATATTCCACGTTTAGCTAGCAAGGAATTTTCTCAACTCCGAATGGAACCAAAACAAGAAAAGAGGTGATAGGCAGGAAACTGAAAACTAATATGATAACTTCTGTTGTGCTGCAAAACAGACCAAACCTGAAGCATCCAACCCAATAACAGCAAGGTTGCACACCGTGCAAATCTGCCCTTCAATGCCAGGCACAAATTTCGCTGTGCAGTAAGGGCACAAGACACTCTTCTGTCCATGATATATGGGAACAAAAGTCAATCCACAGAGAATAAATGGGTTTCGGAAGTCATAATTGAGCTGACTTGCATCTTTAGGGTTTCTCTCACAGATTTGAAGGACTTGACGAGCCTTTGAGGCCTGGTTAGAGGGCGGATCCGTCTCCAAAAGCCTCCTTGCGAAATTTGCAGCTGTATTATAATTGTTGCCCTTGAAGCAAACACCCATAGCATTCATCAGTGCAAGCCGCAAGTGGACCTTTTGAAGATTACAATGAGTGAAGTAAGCAGCAAGCTCTTGCTGCCGAACAGGGTCATCCTTCAGCTCCTTCCTCTTGACCTCCATTTGAAGGGCCAACACATACTCTTTTGCAATGACTACCAACTCTTTCACCTCATCAACCTCTCTTCTCGAATCAACCACTATGATTGGAATCAAGTGCAAAATGTTAAGAAAGAGCTTCAAGGCCTCAGCAAACTTGCCCTCGGTAGTGGCCTTATATGCAAGCTTAAGCCTCTCTTCTAGAAAAGACAGCTTTGATACCATGGCAGGAGGCCCTCTCACATTAGCGCTACCCTGTTCATTCCAACCTCTCTCTACAGCTAAAGGCACAAGTGGGGCAGATGGGAATCCACGAAGATAAGCATGGCTCCCCAAGTAGAGATCCATGAACAATGGTTTCAAAGGAGCAAAGTTTCGAATGCCCAATTGCCGGCTAAGTAAACGCATAGCTGTATCAAAATTTCCAGCAGCTGCGTGCTCACCAGCAAGAGAGGATTTTTGAGTCCAAATTTGACTCACAGGCATGCCCGGTGTTGGTGCCACAAAGGATGAATTCGAAAGCCTTATTCCTGCAATATTTGCAGCAGCAGCAAGCTCAGGAGGAAGTTCAAGATCCTCAAGATCCCACCCCCCTTCTTCACCATCGCCATCTTCTATCACTTCCTCATCTCCAATAATTTCTAGGTCCCCATTCGGCCCCTCCATTTCTATTATCTCCAAGTCCTCACCCCAGTTTGCATCAGCAGCTTCCTCCTCTCCTTCATGAGCCGTTTTGCCCCTGTTCTCTAACCCACCTTCAAAAATGCCCATTGTGACCCTCAGTAACGGCCAATCTCCACCGCACATAATGGGTGCAGGAGGAATAAGAAGTGACGATTTAATACTAGATGGGATGGAAGGGACATTGCCTCCCAATTCAGCTGCTAGCCTTTCTGCAACTTCGGTGAGCCCATGAATGTAAGCAGTAACATAAGCCAGAGGGAGATGGCCCGAGTTTTCCAAGATCTTGACTCGTTCCTGAATATCACCTAGATAGAGAGCATTATGAAACTGACCCATAACATCACTTTTTAATTCGGCAATCCTCATCATCTTAGATAGCTTGTCCATGTTGCCTGCTACTAGATAGAGAAAAGAGAGCCTGTCAAAATTTTTAGTCCTCTGGTATGCATATTCAACGATGCAAGCATTCCCCTGTCGAAGGGCTTCGACACCCAACTTGTACCAGTGATCTTTATCATCGATCTCCTTGGCTGACGCAACAGCAACCTGGATGTTACCGCTTTCCAGGGCTAGGTTGAATCGGGTCCTCTCGTCCTTGACAAAGTGTAGGGCTACTTCAGGGAAGCCTTTCTGGTGAAGGTACCCAATCATTGCCTGCCCACAAAGCTGTGAGTTCTTAATCATGCTCATGACTTGATCATATCTCTTTTTAATCAGAGATAGCTTGAAAAGATACTCTGTGGAATCGATTCCCAATGTGGTGCAACTCCCATCTCGGCTCATGCAAAGAACCGAGTTACCAAAAACCCTTACAACATAGACCGGCTCATCAAGGGTTCGGATAATGCCATTGTCTCCATTAGGAAGGCAATACTTGATGTGACTCAGGGTCGTGTATATGAACACACCATTGTCATCCCAAGCACCACTCTTAATGCGAATAGTTTCATGACAACTACATTGATGCACAAGGCTCCTACTCGCAATAGTAATTGTATGTTTGCTAAGCAATGCAACATATTCCATCTCATTTGACCAGGAAACATACTTTACTGAAGGGATGTGAAGATTTCCTAGAGTAGTCCTCTGTTGTAGATCAAATAAGAACACCTTGTCCTCTGCTCTGCATAGCACATTGCCAGTTGCAGCTGGAAATATAGTATCAACAGCAACCGGAAGGCTGTTTTTCTTTACCACTTCATTTCTCAGGTTCTTAACCACTATTTGGTTGTTCACCTTGTCGAGAACAGCAAAGCGGTTACGTGCCACAAAGATGGCAAATGCACCAGACCCTCTTTTTGATTCTGGGGGAGGATCATTCTTTCCCATAATTTCTTTGGGGACAGTAAAGAGCTCATATGAGCCACCGTCTACATCTGAACAGAGCAAGACTATATTCTCAGTGGGGCTGTAAGAGAGAGATCTTGGTGCTTGATTCAAGTTAAAATTGCCCGATCTTTTGATAGTCATGAGTTGGTCATCTTTTTGAGAGGTAGGATTAAAGCAGCGTAAAAATCGGTCTTTCACATAGTACAAGGAGTCACTGCTATATGCAAAGGCAGGTCGTTCTCTCTCTAGCTTAAAGACAAGCATGCCACTATCATGACCAGCTGCCAAAAGATTCATAGAGGGATGTGCAGCAAGAACCCAGAAACGATCATGCTCTCTACGGAAAGTCATTAAAACTACCCGTCTTGATGCATCCCAAACACGGATATTTTTGTCTTCCGAATTCGATACAATGATGTCGTGCTTTGCAACAAACATAACACAAGACACATTATTCGCGTGTCCCTTCAAGGTGTCCACTTCCCAGGCCTTGGTGTCTGTAAATTCAGAAAATTGGTAGTTTGTCATATCATTATCATGAATCCCTGAAAACCTGTAAAACATGAAAAAGTAAACAATCATATGGTAAATAGCAGTGTTTTAAAATTCGCCGATCCGACTCGGAACAGCCCGAGTGAGATAGGCGCCGGTAGGGGACCGGTTCGAGTCCCATATGGAATCAGGCAATTCTTTTATTTCTCCATTTTTATTAGCCCTCATCCACCATTTTCTTGATTTCTCCCCCATTTTGCATCTGTTTTTTCTCAAAAGACATGTAGGTAGTTCATCTTCAAACACTCTACATGATCCACAACTAAACCCCCATCGACAAAATAAAAAATTGAAAGAGGTTAGTTGTGCAAGCATCAGGAAACAGTTTCTTGCATTGAAGGAAGAATGTTTTATTTCTCAAATAAAAAACAGATCAACTGATTTCAAATCTGTAATAGATCAAATTTGATTTCATATTTAAAAAACAAATCATCTGATTTCAAATCTGGTATTATAATCTAATAGAAGGTGGCTTTCTAATCTGCTTTTTGGATTCCCAAAAACCCTCGAATCTGCTTCTCCATTAAAAACCCCCTTTCTTGATCTAATTTTGATTTCATAACCCCCCCCCCCAGCACAAAAAACAAAAAAAATAAAAATAAAAATAAAAATAATCATATTTTTTATCTCGAAAAACGGATTGGAAAACCCTCCTTTTCTAAATCTGTTTCAAATCATCTCCCATGGCAGATTAGAATTTTTTCTCATTTAGAATCAAAACAGGCGCTGTCCCCATTTTAAGACCGATATAAATCAAATGATTCAATCTGTTTTGATTTGGAAAAAAGATATGTCTTGAACAGATTTTTTTTTTTGAAGTTTTAACTGTGTTATGTTGACAGATTTGAAATCAGATGATGAGAATGATAAAAAAAAAATCGACTAAAAAATAACGTCAGATCAAATCTACTCTTCAACTGAAAAAAAGAAAAGAAAAGGAAATTTGTGATTTTATGGGTATTTTTTTTCATTTCTTAACTGGAAAAAAACTCAAAATTCAGTTTATGGTTTTCCTTTCCTACATTTTTTTTTTTTTTAAATCTTTTGGACTCTATACAAACAAACCACCTGAACCAGCAATCTGACTCAGAATCGGTGGGTGACCTGTTCAACCACTGGTCTGGAACTTTTAACACTTGTAAATAGAAATAAAATTACTCGACATAAGCCAATGGACTATGGAGACCATTGTGTTACTGTGTTCATCACTATCTGATGAGATGTCAGACAGTGATGGAGAGTGAAAGGATCCCCAATTGGGTCATGTCAGGTCCTGGTGGGTCCACTCTCTCTCTCCATCAAATCGATCATATCAATGGACAGAGATGAACTGAGAGAACCATTTTTTTACATGTTTTCATCGGATTATAGTATATTTTCCAATTGTGTTCCAGCACATACCATTCATTCGCCAAAGCTTAACTTGTCGATCATCAGCTCCTGAAACAATCAGGGGCAATGTGGGGTGAAATGCTGCCCAGTTTACTCCACGATCGTGACCCTCCAACACATATTTCACAACAGCATCACCACCTCCAAATAGATCAGTATTCATTTGGGTGAGCCTCAAAATGTCATCAGCTGGTGAAACAGTCTTCTTCCTAAGAGCACCAATGTCCCACACCCTAACTGTCTGATCCAAGGAGGCTGACGCCACCAAGTCCTCCTTAGGATGGAAAGAAGCACACATCACATAGTGGTTGTGGCCCGTTAGCACAGAAATACAGGTTCTTGACTGCCAGTTCCATATTCTTATGGTTTGATCATCACTGGCACTAACAATCCATGGGTACTCATGGTGGAAGTTAACTGTACGGATGTAATCAAGGTGCCCAAGAAGGGTGAAGAGGCATCGGCGTAGCTTATAATTCCAGACTTTGATTTTGTAATCATCTCCTGCAACATTCACCCAAAACGATGACAGGAGGTTCTAGAAACATTCTCTTCATCATTCAAGTTTGTAAAACGCTCTTTTATAACTCATTAGCATAATCTGCAGATTCTGCATGATCATTGGCATGTGTTTAGAACTTTGCACTATATCAAAATCATCAGTTACATGAATATATGTTCATTTCAGTTACAGTACCCCAAACAGTAAGGACACGACCCTGCTTCTTCTTTCTTTTCAATTTCCATTTTCATGGAGTTCTCAGGCAACAAGAATGAGAAATCTTCAGAATTCAAGATCCTGTAGGAGTTCTAGTTACCACAAACTAAGAGTATTGTGGGAAGATTCTAGTTACCACAAACTAAGACTATTGTGGGAAGAAAATTACAGTTACAAGAGAATCAAGAATTTATTTTTTCAGTAACTGAAAATTAACAATAAAACACAATGAGAATGAAACCCAAAAACATGAAAATGAAAATGAAAATGAAAAATCAAACAAGGTTTCAAAAAACGCTGGGGG